ACCATCGAGCTGGCCGATCCTTCGTTGGACCTTGCCGGTGTGCGGGCTTCGTTGAGTGCGCTGCAGCAGGCCATCGATCAGACCGAGGCACTACGTGAGCTCCGCTGGGATCACTAGGTTCTGTGCCGCGAGTTTCTGCTACACGACGTCGCGCGGAGGGCCTGGATCGTCAGCTTGCTGACGCGGCTAAGGCTGCGTCGCCATACGTGCTCTTCTGTCAGCACAAGTACGAGGTTATTCATCACCAGCTGGACTCTACTCGGAAGGAGCTCGCCGACTGCCTGAACGCGCTGCAGGAGCGTATGGACAACTCCCGCGAGCTTGAGGCTTGCCGTCTTCGATATCACGATCTGCAGCTCCGCTACAACGAAGCCGTGTCTGAGTTTCAAGATCGGGTCTCCACCCTGGAGGCGCAGCTGGCTGCTACTTCTTCTTTCGGAGTAATCGTCCCGCCCGATGCAGCTCGTCGCAAAGCGGATCTGGAGTCCCAGCTCGCGCAGTCCCAATCTGACTTACAAGTCGCGTGATCGCCTGTCTTCTCTCGCTTCGAAGCTCCGTGAATCAGCTACATCCCACCGGGCCGCTCAAGCAGAGGTAGGTCGCCTCACGGCCGCGATCGGACGTAAGAATCGTCGCTTCCGTATCTTGCGTGAAAACTATGAGCGTCGCTTGAGGGTTGCCGACAACACGATCGCCACCCATTCCGCCGAACTTGATCGTTTGCAAGATCGGGCATCGACACTGGATCAAGATCGCCAGCGGGCTTCCCAGCACGTTCGAACTTCGACCTCTCAGCGCAGGGTAGACGTGACGCCACTCGTGAGTGTTATCTGCCTTCCCTGGTCGAAGTCGTATTAATTCATGTCCTGTGTCACAGAGGATCGTGTTTCAGCGGCTCGGGAAGCTATCGCCCGGCTGGAGAAGCGGATTAACCAGTTCGAAAAAGCCCAGAAGTCGCGTCAAGACCTCGCGGCTGCGCTCGCAGCGCTTCAACAGGAGAGAGACAGTCTGGCGGTCCAAACGGATGAATTGCTCGGCCAGCTTGGCGAGCATTTCATGGAGGTCACCGATCTACGGGCCGAACGGGATCAGGCGCAAGAGAGGTTGTCTAACATCGCTTCTCTACCCCATTCGGCCCCGAGTCACAAACGAGCACGCTCTGAGTCCGATTCTCCAGCCCGGCCTGCTCGCGTCTCCAAAGCCGCTCGATCGGCTTCAGGTCCCTTCCCTGCTAGCGCTTTGAGTCAGGGCCCTACGTCTAGGTCCTCGATTGAGGTGTTGTCTGCTGTAGCTTCCGACCAGAAGGCTGAGGAGCCGGTGTCGTCTCCTTCGTTCGCTGGTCTTCCTGATCATCCTCCTCGATCTGCTTGCTCGATCGACCACCCCGGGTGGCAGCAGAGGCGCTTCGTCCCCTCCTGCAGCGTCCGAGCCGGGCGCGCTTTCCGACGATAGCGAGAGTTCCTCCGGCAAATCCAGTTCTACTCGCGTATTCGATTCGGACACCGCGGA